AGTGAGCTGCACTTCTAAATAGCCCGTATCAGCACAGCATAGGAGAACAGAGTCCAAGCAAGGTAGCGGGCAAAGCAGATGAATGAAGGAGAATAAGACAGGTTGCTAACACACAATAATTCAGTTTGACATTATTTATGCCTGTAAAGACAAATAGCTGGTAAATTGTGTAAATGACAGCATTACACATCATATAATGAGTATAATTAACATTGGCCTTTAAACAACTGAAACTTGTCCTACAAATTCCCTAATTCCCTATCTTCTGTTTCTCTGAGCAAACTCTGTTACAGGATTTTAACAAGACATGAACACACTGAATGGAGCCATGGTTTGTAGCTCTTCAAAACCAGCTCTTATCACAATACAAGACAAAAACTATAAGAAAACACTCAGTTCTGCATGTAGCTTACAGTGTAAAAGGATTAATATAACCCAGATCAAGTGGTATAACAAAAGGCCTGATCTTACTTTTCAGTACAGAGCAATAGCCCATTCAGACATGCATTTCTGGCCTAATTACAACAGGTTTTGGTTGAGAAAGGCTGTCTTTAAAGCATTGCTCTACCCTGCAAAAAATTGGTATGCCACATTATTCTTAATCTGTTATACATTTATAAAATGTAAAGAACATTTTACTCTAACGACAAAGGGATATTTAAATCAATCAACTCCCATATCTGTACAGAAAATATTTAGGAGTGCTCAGGAAGGCAAACGAGAACAAAGATGGAGAAACAAAGAGTATCTACACTTCAGTCACAGCAAAAATAGCAGTACTGTAGAACCACAGGCCCTGGACAGCATTTGAAACGCTCCAAATACTAAGGGTACAGACACACGGAGCCAGAGTACTTCAAAACCGGCTAAAATACTGCAGAAATAAGCCTAAAAAGAGGATCATCTCTGAATTACTTCTGTACATTCCAGCAGTCCTCCGACATCCCACAATGCTCCATTCTTCCCCACCACAGGGGAGGGGATGGGGTACAGGCAGATAGCCAATAAATGTTCTCCTGCATGTTTAGCTGTCTTCACAAACAGCTCCGGAGACTGGAGGCCAAGAGGTATGCATGAATTCCTGTTCCCCACCCCTGGCAAGTAGTGTCACTGCATGTCTCTAAACGAGTTCAGCTCTAAGAGTGCCTATGCACAGGGCAGGGGATGAGTGTGGGAGAAGGGGGTTGAGTAGAGTGGCTTTTGGGAGCCACTCCAATTAAAACACCCACAGCGTCTTGTGTATTCAGCATCCTGCATTTCAAATGTAAGTGGGGGTACTTAAACTAAAGCTTGCTTAAAATGTCCTAGGCTAGGGACAGGAGTTACACATAAACTGGTATAAGTGATCGGAAGCCGGTTCAAATCTGCAACACAATAGAAGTTCAATGTGCATAAACTGCTTTCAAAATGGCAGAAACCAGTTTAAAGATAAACCTGAATGGATGTAGTCTCAGACTTAACTGATTTAGTTTAAATCAGTTTACTGAACTTCTGTCCCAGATCCCCTTCAGATTCACGTTAATTTACAGTCCCTCAGCATCCCAGGATGGTTCGCACCTCCCCTGCATACCCCACAGGGTGGCAGGCTAGCCTGGGCGAAAGATGTCTGCTCCAACCAAGGAGGAAGGCATGTTCTAGCACCCCCCAGCTTCTGGCCTGAGTCACGGCAGGCATGT